TGGGACACTTTCGAGCAGCAAATTCGTCAGTTATTTGGTGCCCCTGCAGTTCGCACTGAGGCAGCAAAGAAGAAACTCGCTGAACGCACGCAGCTGCCGGGTGAATCTTACACCTCTTATATTGAGGATGTCTTTGCACCGTGCAAGCGCGTTAACACCGGCATGTCTCAGAACGACCAAATACGCCACATTATTAAAGGTATTAACACCGTTGCCTTTAACGCCCTCGCCACGCAAAATCCTGCCACCACCCAGGACGTGATAACCATCTGTCAGCGACTTGACGAGCTTCAGTCTCTTCGCCTTTGCTACGATGCCACCGACGTTCGTTTGCCTGCACCCCTCGACTTGCGTGCGCTTATTCGCCACATCGTTCGTGAAGAGCTTCACGGGCGCTGCTCTTCCTGTGCTGCAGAAGTTACTTTACCTCCTGAAAAAGATAGCTTGCGAGACCTGACTAAACAAGAGATCGCCTCCGCATCGCGTCCGACGTGTTCCAACGGTCCCTGCGTGCGCCAGACGCGCACGTACGCCGAAGTTGCCACGCTGTCTGCCGCACCCACCGTTTCTGTGCCTACAACAGCAGACCATACGCCTGTGGCTTCGTTATCACCGTCAGTGCGTGCACCACCTTACTACGCACCTCAGCGCCCACCTCGACCAATCTGTTACTACTGCGGCTATCGAGGACATATCGCTCGGTTTTGTCGAAGGCACCAACAGACGAGCAACGCGGCTACGCTCCCGAAGAACATCGAAGCTTCCGTCCGACCATGAACTACTTACGGCCACCCTCCCGATCGTCCTATTACCGTTCACCGTCACCTACTTACCATACGGACATGCCTGGGGATTCCCGTACGTCTCGCCGCAGGTCGCCTTCGCCACGTCACCGTTCAGTGTCGCCTCTACGGCCCGCCTCCCATTCCACGAACGCCCACGCGGAAAACTCCCCAATGCAGTTTTAGGAGGGGAAACTGCATCCCTTGGACAGCTAACAATTCCTCCAGAGCGGCCATCGAATTTGATAGTAGTGTTTGTAGAAGGTGTATGTGTTGAGGCTCTTGTAGACACTGGCGCTGCCGTTTCGATTATTCGTGCTGATTTTTGTTCCCGCCTTCGAAACGTCACCACACCTTATGGCGGCCCACCTCTACGTGCGGCGACCAACGCTCTCATTCGTCCACTTGCACAGTGTACCGTTCGTGTCTGCATAGAAGGCATTCGTCATCACATTGTTTTCGCGGTATTTCGTGAGTGCACCCACGCTCTCATTCTTGGGTGGGATTTCTTGTCTTCTGCGTCCGCTTTCATATCATGTCATCAGTGCCTCCTGCATCTAAATGCCACTGACTCTTCTCCGCTTGAACAAGATGGACGCATCCGCCTTGTCACCAAGTCAGATTATGTACTTCAGCCATACATCAAAGAAATTATAAGTGTTAATTGCACCGACATTGTGGATGGCGACGTACTAATTCTCCCTTACGGCCATACCCTACGTAGGGGCATTGCGATCACACCGGGCTTATTCGCTTCTTCGATGGGTGTACGTACCTAACCACCTTAAATCAAACGCCCGAGTGTGTACTGCTCCCCTGTGGCTCAACAGTATCTTGCGCGGTCGACAGTGAGCCTGTTGCGATTGTTACTCTTCCGAACAACAACCACAACGATGTCCCAAAGTCACAATCACTGCCATTCAATGCCTCTGCCACACCTGTGTCGGCGACAATAAGCAATGACTTAACACCTGATCAAACTGAAGATTTGCTCGCCCTGTTAAATAGACACCGTTCTCTATTTGACGTGAACTCGCCCGCCCTCAGCATGACTACCACCGCTACTCACAGCATCCAGACTGACGGCTCTCGTATTGTACATCGGCGTCCATATCGCGTGTCTCAGGCAGAACGCGAGATCATCGAGGAAAACGTCTCAGATATGCTACGACGCAACATCATACGTCCTTCCTCGAGTTTCTGGTCATCCTCAGTTGTTCTCGTTCAAAAAAAAAAGATGGGACAGTGCGTTTCTGCGTCGATTACCGTGCGCTAAACAAAATAACGCGCAAGGATGTTTATCCCCTCCCTCGGATCGACGATGCACTGGATTCATTACAGGGCGCAGAGTATTTTTCCAGCCACGACCTTAGGTCAGGCTACTGGCAGATACCAATGTCGGAGTCTGATAAAGAGAAGACCGCCTTTTCAACGCCAGATGGGTTGTACGAGTTCAATGTGATGCCTTTTGGACTCTGTAATGCGCCCGCCACCTTCGAACGCATGATAGACGGCGTATTGCGTGGTTTGAAATGGAAAACATGTCTGTGCTATCTCGATGACATAGTAGTGTTTTCATCCACGTTCTCGCAGCATCTACAACGTCTTGACGAAGTCTTCACATGCCTTGCAAAAGCCGGTCTACAGCTAACACCAAGAAATGTACCTTTGCTAGCAAGACAATCAAGGTTCTCGGCCACCTTGTCAGCAAAGATGGAATTCGGCCCGACCCCGGGAAGCTTGCCGCTGTCCTCGATTTTCCTCGTCCACTACGTCAAAAGGACCTGCGCCGCTTTCTTGGGTTATCTTCTTACTTCCGGCGCTTCATACGTGGTTTCACGGAACTTGCGTCTCCACTCCATCAACTCCTCGCAAAGAACGTCCCCTTCATTTGGTCCGAAGACTACGAAAGCGCTTTCACGGCATTGAAGCAAGCCCTCACATCGGATCCGGTACTGTGCCACTTCGATTCCACCGCACCCACCATCCTTCACACCGACGCCAGTAGTCATGGTCTTGGTGTGGTACTCTTGCAGCGTGACAAAAACTCACGCGAACGCGTCGTTGCTTACGCAAGTCCTGCTCTTACCGCTCCAGAAAAGAACTACACTATCACCGAGCAGGAGTGCCTTGCTGTTGTTTGGGCAGCGCAAAGATTCCGACCATATCTTCACGGCCGTCATTTTACCGTCGTGACCGACCATAACGCCCTATGCTGGCTTTCATCGCTGAAAAACTTATCGGGTCGCCTTGGTCGCTGGGTGCTTCGCTTGCAGGAGTATGATTTCGATGTGGCCTACAGATCTGGGAAAGGCATCAAGATGCTGATGCTCTATCGCGCTGTCCTTTGCCCAGCGGAAGCAATTCACCATCGATACTCCAAAACGACAGCACCTCTCCAATCGCAGCGCTAAGTTCATCACCTGCCACCATATCCGTCCTTGTTTCACAACAACGTGTCGACCCATACTGCCGCACCATTGTTGACCGCTTGACCGGCTCTACTACTCCTCCAAACGCCAGACTCCGTCGACAACTTAAACAATTTAAGCTTGTCGGTGATGCTTTATGTCGCTACATTTACCATATCGATGGCAACAAGTGGGTACCCATCATCCCACGTTCTCTGCAACGTAAGTTCTGGAAGCCTTTCATGATGATCCAACCGCTGCTCATCTATGCTACCACAAGACTTACCACAAAATAAGAAGTCGTTGTTTTTGGCCTGGCCTCTCTTCAGCCGTCGCTAAGTACGTCGCCTCCTGTGTCCATTGCCAACGGCGAAAACGACTGACCACTGCTCCGGCTGGCTTAATGCAACCTCTTCCTTGTCCCGCCTCACCTTTTGAAGTCGTTGGAATCGACTTGCATGGCCCTCTTCCTATATAATCCAATGGGAATCGCTGGATTGTCACGACAGTCGACCACCTTACCCGCTACGCAGAAACAGCTTCTATACCATCTGGGACTGCCACTGAGATCGCCGATTTCTTCTTCGCCACATCTTTTTGCGTCATGGAGCTCCACGCATTCTCCTCAGTGATCGTGGCAAAGTCTTCCTATCTTCCATTGTCGAGCAAGTTTTGCGTGCCTCGAACACTGTTCACAAGACCACTACTAGCTACCACCCGCAGACCATCGGATTGACTGAATGGTTCATCGGACCCTATCGGACATGATCGCCATGTACATTCACCGCAACCACACGAACTGGGATGCAATTCTACCCTTCGTGACATTCGCCTATAATACGGCTGCTCAACGCACTACCGGCTTTTCTCCATTTTTTCTCGTCCATGGTCGCTCGCCGAGTTTCGCACTGGATGTCTCTTTCCTTTCGGCCCCTGCACCCCTCGACGGCTCCCTTCTCTGAAGAATTTCTATCTCGTCTCGCACACTGCCGTCACCAGGCCCGTGTTAACACCGGCCTCTCTCAAGACACTCGAAAATCTCGCTACGACTCGTCTCGCCGTGTTGTGAGTTTTTCCCCTGGTGACGAAGTTCTTCTATGGACTCCACTACGCGTCCCCGGCCTATGCGACAAATTCATCAGTCGCTTGATTGGGCCACACACGGTGATCGAACAGACATCTCCTGTCAATTACCGCGTTTCTCCTCTTAGCGCTAGTCCTGATCATCGTTGCCGAGGAACAGAGATAGTGCACGTATCTCGTTTAAAGCCTTATATGCGACGCATTTCATAATACTGTCGAGCGACCAGGCGGCCGCTTTCACCGCGCGGGGTAATTAGTGTGAGCGCGACAAGCGAATGACTCTTTATTCTTTTTGTAATCATCATCACCTGTACATCTTCTTCATCTAAGAATATCATCACCAGCGTGATTGAGCTCGAACCTGGCCTAATAAACCGGTTCCTCACATATATATAAATAATAAATAATAATAAATAATATATATATATTATATTATATATATATATATATATATAATATATATATATATATTAGGTACTTCACATAATACTACTATTGCACCTTTTTTTCCTGGAAGACAGCGCGGAACTGTTGTTTGCTTCCCACCTTTCAGAGCCCAAACGAAGCCTGAAAACCCCTCGCAGGCAGCTTGTAAGCGGAATGGCTTTCAACCTTCCTGATCGAAGTTGTAGTTTTATGAGAAACTGATAATTCTGCTGTTAATTCTTGAGTGGGCTGCCTACTTTGTACATTCATTGTTTTGCTACTTTCTTTCGTTTCATAGAACCTGCGGAACGTCAACGAGGGTATGCCTAGAGTACCCTGCGCGGTAGAAGAAAAATGCTGCCACACACTCAAAGCCGTGTTGTCATGGCTCTGCTGATTCCCATCTGCCTATTTAAACGTGAGTTTAAAGACTCCTGCACCAGAAAGCATGTACTGCTTCCAGCCAACTATAGATTAATCGTGTTACTATGCACTGTTATATTATGGGAATAGTACCTATGAAGCAACCGGTTGTGAACGAATAAATCAGTAAATTCGTTTTGAAGATGTGACTGCGTTATTCAAGCGACGCAGGATAGATCACAGAGGGATCATATCTGTCACTTTCTTACTGCATATTGAATTATCTTCAGAGCGCAGTGCATGCGAGTTCATTTACCCATAGTTAGTTGGAGGTTAATAGAGACTATATCGCTTGTCGCTATTTACCACTACTAATTGAGCGCATGATGGTATACAATTAGCACAATTGGCTTATTTGAAATAAAAACTATAGCGTTGGATATAATGATAAACACCAAAATTATCTCTCACTACTGAAAGTTAACGTAATAAAGCATGAAGATTAATCAATCATCACACTAGAACTGATAGAATATGCTCAGATATAATTAGTGTATGCAAAATCACGGTGCCCTGATAACCGCGCATACGGAAATAAACTTCCACGTAAACGTTAAAAACGGTCCAAAGTATACAAACAGATTGTGCAGCCGCCGCATCTGCTGATGCATCTAGTCTATCAGCTCTGTTTTACTTGTTATGGTTTGCAGCCTTCTATTAGCTTAAGATATTGACAAACTTGCGGTGCATTATGTTTTCATAGTTACTGAATAACGCAAGTTTAGTGTTATACTTAACGACTGGGCATTTCAAGAAAAAAACATTACCATTAAGATGGCGTGGCACACGCATGAGCCGTATTGCTGAAATGTGATTGAACATTCTCAAATGCACATTTTTCTTGTTCTAACCTGCGAATGCTTTTAGAGCACTCCTTCAATAAAGTATTATTGCAGTGAACTTCAAGAATGTCGACGCAATTCCCACGAAAGAGGATAAAGACGCAACAGTGGTTACCATAATCGACATTCAGCGCTTAGGTGAGGCCAACCTGGATGATGCCACCCGGGGATACATCGGCAGTGGAGCGGGCCAGGAGCAGACATTGAACGAAAACACCGCTGCATTCACGAGGTACGCGTTTGCAAAGCATTATATATTTAGCCCTACTATATATTGTTTTCAAGTGATGAACAAATGTCTAACCCTGATACGTACAAGAAACGGATAAATTTGTTATTAATTAGAAAACGACGAATGCTCTGTCTGTTCTCAGGTCAAGCAAATTACTTTAATGACCTACATGTACACAGTTAATCATCGCGTAACTTCAACGCGGCAAAATAAGCGCTTAATTGGGGTATACGTACAAGCTACAATACAAAACGCGTACGCACATGCTGAAAACTCTTCTGAGAGGAAAGTGGCGGTAATAAAGATTAGCAATCTGGCCGCAATGAGGACTGCGAGGAAACACTGAGAGATTGCTTTTGCCCTTTTCTGTGCTTTTGACTATGGTGTAAATACATGCATGTAATTTGTACATTGCAGATGTATAATTCCCTCCACCTTTTATAAAGCTTGACTGTGTTGTACAAAGAAATGAAGCTCGCCCGCTCTTCACAGCATATATTAATGCAGCATTGAATACAAAGTAAAAGTCATAGCACGAGCCACTTTTACCCTACCAAACAAACTCGTAATGTCTACCTAAACTAAAGCAAACAATTGATGTTTAATGAGCTATGAGTAAAATATTTTGCTAATTTGATGTTGTTGGGGGTGAAGAAATAACTCTTGTGATACAAAATAAGTCTAATTACTTCAATGCAGGCTTCGCTTCAGGCCACGGTCTCTTGTGGATGTGGCGAAGATTCAGACGGCCACTACTGTGTTAGGTCGAAAAATATCTTTTCCTCTTGGCTTCTCCCCTTCCGCTGCACATATGATAGCACACGAGGACGGAGAATTTGGAACTGCAAAAGGTAGGCTCACCAGAATTATTCACACATCCTTGTCGACTATTGTGGAGAATTGTGAGCAAAACTACGCTCCTAATGTAGAGACGATTGCCCGCTTCGATGGGTGGCAAAACAACTAGCAGCCTGCTGGAAAGTTTATCAAGGAGTAGAAGCGTTGCCGACTATGTCACTGATGTTCATTGTTGGCAAAAAGGTGGTTGGATATTCATTGATGAGTAGTTCACTGAGCAGTAGTGTATTGAGCAGCAATACCTTATACGAAATGGCTACTCTGAACATGACGCTTCGCATTAGAGTGTACCTTATTCGGCCTCTTCACCAACATATTGCAAGAGCCCTCATCCTGCATTTATGAATGATGTTTAAGGACGCGCATACTGTTGCGTGAAAACACGAGGGAAACTATAGGCGATTGAAGATATATTTACACCGAGCCAAAGCGCAAGCCAAGATGGCGAACTGAAGTACGGCCCACAAACCAAAATCATGTCGTCTTTCTCGGCGCCTGTCTCACTGCTTAAGTGTGACATTGTCACATAACATTATCTTTCAATCAATGGGGAAACTGCATCTTTTGGGTCCCTATTCGTAACTGATCCCACCAAGAATCCTCATTATTCACTTGCTTCTAGCTATTGTTAGTACAGTATCACGAATATTATCTCTTCGATAGTGTTGATGAAGTTGGAAGATTGCGCCAGGCACAAATATAAGCAACTTTTATACGCATTGTAATGGCAAAATTTGTCAGAAACTGATTATTTACAACTCAAATAATATGAAACAAATAAAACAAATTGAAATAGTTGTTTCAAATTGATCCCCTCTCAACACTGCTGGAAGAATTGACTTCGTGCGTAGGCGCATTGTAAGATATACTTTAAATAGCTAGCCCTCGCCTTTCGTGCACCCACGTACTTTCACCTCGATTCATTTACTTAGTCTAGAACGTGTAAGAAGCCAAAAGTGAATTACGACTGAGTTACATGATACCATTCAGAGATACCCTGATCAATATATATTTAGGGTTTAACGTCCTAAAACCACCATATGAGAGACGCCCTAGTGGAGGGCTTCGAGATTTTCGACCACCTGGGTTTTTTAACGTGCATCCACCATCTGAGCACACGAGCCTGCAACATTTTCGCCTCCGTCGAAAATGCAGCTGCCGCAGTCGGTATTCGATAGTGTGACCTGCGGGTCAGCAGCGAGTACCTTAGCCACTAGACCACGCGTGGCAAGAGACAACCCTGTATACACAGCATTGAACCATGCATACGATTATAACACAATTGCTACTGCCATCATTGACCTTGAATGTCACTCTGGATGTGCGTAACTAAATGACAGCCGCATTCGCCATGCGACTTTGACTTTGTCGCTATTTATCTAGCATGCATGCTGACACTGCGAAGTTCGTCCTGGACAGCCTCTCGCAAGTTCGCGGCCTGCACATCCACGTTTGGCAAGAGTGCATACTGTTGACAAGGTTCAAAAAGTACTTCAAGCTTAGCACTCAATCTGAGTGGTTCTTCCTTCACTCATCACGCTACTCGACTCACTAGAATAAATTTCATGCTCTATTCTTTGAATTCTTCATGACACTGCCACGCAAGCAGTAAAAAATGTCCATTCATAAAACCATTGCAGTAGAATATGGCGAGCTTTCATAGTGCAAGTACCGAAAAACTCAGAAGCCAGTCCATTGCGACTTCGTATACTGCAGCGACTCGGGACGCCGGCACCTTGATGATTGTGAGCGCCGTGAGCACAGCCTCGTTGGAAGACATCAGGGCTAGCGCACCGGACTGCCTTCTGTGGCAGCAGATATACTTATTCAAGAACCGCTCTTTGACCGAGTCCATCGTCAGGAGGGCGGAGCGTCAAGGTTTTGCTGCCATTGTGGTCACCGTTGACTCACCCGTCGCTGGACAGTCTGCATTCATCACCAAGAGTATGTTCGAGCTTCCGAAAGGCCTCAGGTGAGAACTTCCTGCATAATGCGCGAGGGTTACAGGGAAAGGTACAAGCGTGAAAAAATCCATTAAAGTTAAATTCGTGGTCATGTTCGGAAACAAGTCACACGTTCCCATAGGCATTCGCCTATGGTAACTCGAAAGCGAAAGTCATTTTCTCTTTTTCTTCCCATTAGGACCTATCGATCCCCTCCTATGACAGCTTTATGCAACGCACATGCCCTTGCGCTCTATAGTGTATCGACGCACCCTTCTTCAAACGACAATATCATGCTGTCACGTCAGCATCTGGCATCACGTCACGTCACCTCATGTTCACGCAACCATAACATCACAAATTATGGCGTCCTGTGGCGCTGCCACTGCGATGACCCATGGTTAGAACGCACGAGGGAGCATACAACAGTGCATTAGTGAATGCGTAGAAACGCCCAAGTTTTTTTAAATAGGGATAAGTGTATGGATACTGTGAGTATTCCCTAATAACAGGGGGTGACATTAAGGTCACCGAAGGAAGAAAAAAAACACTTTTCTGCTTATTCTTTGGTTATTTCGTGCTGTTGTTGTTTGAAGTTGGCTTATGGCCTTGTCTTATTCTAATAAAGCTATCTTACTGTAGAAAAAAAACGTAAATCACAGTTCCGGTCTCTGCCCCTTACGGCAGACCATCCTTACTTCTTCCGCTATTCAATTTTCGGTCTTCTTTTTCTCTCCTAGGTAAAGTTTGCTGACTGCGTAGACGTTTAGCCGCCACATGTCACACTCTTGCCACTGGAGTAGCAGCTCACTGTCGGCATTGTTGCTTTGCCTTACCCGGCCGAGAGAGCTTTCACGGTCATTTTGATCCATGCCTGGAAAATAATGTTTGGTCTTGAATGCTCGTATTCTTTATCCTGATCAACGTGATAGTAATCATCATGACGTGAAGTGGGTACCATGTGTGAGTTGTGCCGTGATAGCCATGTTATTGTGACCAAACACGCCTATTCTTCATCGTCAACATCATAGCGTATAGTGGGTGCCTTGCATGTGTTGCGCCGGACAGCGTACAAACCTAAACTATAAGGTGCTTCGCCCCTAAAAAAAGGTGTGCTAAGTGCAACTTTACACCTTATTTTATCTGCTCGCGTCATATACCAGGTTTGGATTTTACTTCTTTTTGGAGACCAAGAAAGGGAGCGTATAAAGTGCATAGAACTATGTCTTCTTAAATGAAGCGAAGCACCAGACATGTTCACCTCCCGCTGGTTTAATGGTTAGTAATTCTTGTGACAGAATAGAAAGTTGGGCGAGTTGGTGTATATTCATATTTTAATATGGTTCGTAATTCACAGCACAATGCCAATCAACTGGTTAGTTGGAGCTCATGCAATATTATTGGAAGTTCTGTAGATGAAAATGTGCCAACTTAAGGCTTCTCAAGTTTCTTATACATGAAGCTATATGCATTAACGAGTAAATCAAAGTATACATGGCACACAAAATTTTTCAGCTTCGCTGGCTATGTTCATGGTAGGGCAAACTCTTTTTATAATAACTAGGTCGGTAGCAGAAAATTGTGTCACTCTTAATCGCAATACCCCATGTATGAAAAGTAGTATAAATAATTTTCACGAGTATTATTGTCGCACATGTGCCTCATAAATTTTAAAATAACTTTTTGTGATCAAACTTTCCTCTTGACAAACGAAAGTGAGTGACACTGACTTTTACAAGTATCACATAATGGAGCGTAGCACACGTTTCTGTAAAACAGAAATGAAAGTTCGTTCCTCGTCCCTTCCCAATATTGAGACGAGTTGCCGCTACGAGTTACTCGTAATGCGAAAGTATTTCTTTGCGATCATAAAGTACCGTTATTTTAAAAAAAAAGCTATAGTGTCGAATAATTCTGAAGTGAAGTAAAGGGGAAACACATGGAGGCACATATAATAAACAAATTTATCATCGCCGACAGCACGATATACGAAGTTAAAAGGAATTGAAATAGGCGTTCCTAGAAAAATTTCTTGAGAGATCACCGGCCATACTTGCTAGCCCCTCTAACTGCAACTTTAGAGATGGTCGATCTCAAGTGGCCCTCACAGGCACCTTCTCAATCAATCTTCAATGGCGCAGTCGGGACTCTGCTCTTGAAGCATTAAGCTGAAATCTCCACTAATGAACTAATAGAATGAAATTTCTGGCATTAGAAACTGCATCGAAAAGGCTTTACGGTGCTTGCAAATTGCCCCCACGACCTAATCTTCGGCATCGACGCATTCTGCCCTCATCGATGTGCCGCCGGTACTCTCTGCCTAGAACTCTTCTTCT